TCATATTTTTATTCAATCATTATTCAGTGATCATTGTCTATGGTTTCCTTCTCCTTAGTTAATCACAAATCACCTCCATCTCTTATAGTCAATGGAATATAAAACTTACTATCTGTGTAGATGGAGCCCAAGAGCACTGGGCAAGGAGCTTGGATTGAACACAGCTATTGTGCTATATGAGTTAAAACAGTGCAGCATGATTTATGGTTTTTTATTTTCTTGTTATTTATTTATACCCTTTATTAATATCCCAGAAGGGCCGCAAAGTACACTTCAGTCACCCATATTAAGATATCAACTCTGCCAGCCAGGCTCACACATTTGACGTTTACGTGTCGTACTTGGGAGGGTAATTTAATAGGGCATCAGTAGCTTACTTAATTGGACAATGGCTATTGACAATGTCTTTAAACAGTTCTCCATTGGCCAGAATTACCTAATGGAAACCAAATAACCTGAACTCACCACATTAAAGGAAATAAATTGTATCTGTCATTAACAGGGTATTGAAATTCACTGGAACTAAGTAAGAATCTGGATTTCTGTCTACAAAGTACTAAACAGCAGCAATTAATGTAAGAGCAAAGAACGCTTTCCCTTTCCCTGCTGTTTATACAGTAAACGTGCCCATTTGCAGAATGGTTTTAAGCAATAATATAATTTCCCATAAGTACAGTGTAAGAATAGGATAGAGAGGGACTGTCCCGGGGTAACTGAGGCCTGTTACTCACCTGTAAGCAGTTAATATTTAACTGAGGGCTAATTAGTTCATGCTTATTTATTATGCACATGTGATCATTTAGGATTTTTCTTTATGTTTTCCCTTGAGTGCTTTACACGTCAAGTGTATTTTTCAGTATGAATGTGGGCATAATCGTAGAAGAAAAAACACTGACTTGTGGTGAACGTATAAAAAAATCATGCACTGTCATATATAACTGACATAAGAAAAATGCTTGATAGACATACATGAACCATGTGGTTTGTTTGTCATATGGGATGTGGATCCTTTGGTCATCTTCATGGAGGCAACTTTTTCCACAGGGAAGTTCAATTGTAGGTATGTTTTAAGGCTTGCATTATGTCTGCAGAATGTGCCAGTACAGGGCTGGTCTGGAGGTGGTCCCAGGTGGCACGAGGCATAGGTTACACCCTGCACAGGATGCCAGGCCATCACAGGACCCACACACACTTCAATGGGCAACTACACCAAACAGCATGTTCTTACCCAACACAGGAAGAACATGCAAACTCCACGCCCTCAGATCTGGAGAAGAGGTGGGATTACAAGCTCTGACCCTGAAGGTGCAAAGCAGCCGGGGTTCTTGCTCTACCACAGGGTTTCTCAACCCGGTCCTCGGGGAACACCAGACGGTCCATGTTTTTGCTCTCTCCCAATTCCCTGCCAATTGGGAGAGAGCAAAAACGTGGACCGTCTGGTGGTCCCCGAGGACTGGGTTGAGAAACCTTGCTCTACCATATGTGCCCATATCTTAAAACATTCAGGTGGTACCAAGAAGATGTTGACGTTGCAACAAAAATTACACACCACGTGAAGGTCAATGTGCTGAAGATAAATGGGTGTGACATTTCTCCAGCCGCTAACCATTTTCTCTCAAAAAACCATGCCAGGAAGCAGCAATTTGTTTGAGATATCGAGGACAGCAATTTGTGAAGCATTTAGAGCAATAGGGTTTTAATAAAAGGAGGGAAATTGTGGTTCGCTGGGTAGTACAGGGGCATCCCACTTCCAGGGTGAGACTTCACATCCTGCCTCTGCTCTTGTTGCCTGGCATTTGCGTGATGTTTGCACGTTCTCCCCAAGTTTCTGCCTGCAATCAAAAATCATGGTGCGGATTGGAGACTCTACATTGCTCATTGTTTATGATTATGAGGCCGTTCGTGCTTCTGTCCTACAGTGGATTGGCATCCTGTCCAAGCTGTTCCCCTGCCTTGTGCCCTCCACTGACTGAGGTTGCCTGCAGGTATTCCATGCCTACATAAGTGGTTGAAAGATGGATATATACTTTAGATCAATGTACATTGACCATAAGTGGGCCCTGGCTATTATGCACGAAGTGTCTTAAAATTTCCATATGTTGACTTTCCGATTGCCTCACTATTAAAGGATCCACATCTGGATAATGTAAAAATTGCTTGGTCACTATGTTGCATTGTATTCCGTCGATAACTGCACATATCTGCAGCTTTGGAATGTAAGTAGTCAAATATTGACTCATGGCAATCTATATCTGCAGTGAAACAGTGAGCTTTGTATTCATGTGGAGTTAAAAGCCCAACAGAGGCTTGTTGTTGCCAGCCTGTCTTTGTAATTGCAGCATGGATTTCAACAACCACAAAGGGCAAAATGGATGAGATCTCGCCGGGGGAGTCGATAGCGTATCGATTTCTCTTTTCACGGTGCCACATGAATCAAACAGATATTGTGAGATTTTATGCATATGCCCCCCCATTCCATGTTTAGCGTATTCGCGTGACCCGCAAATCGGCAAGCCTCAACCGTGAGACCTTCCCTATAGGCCGGCTGGCGTGGGAGGCCGGTGTCTACAGCGGATCGCTGCCCTGAGCCAGAGGCAGCCAACCGATCTCGTGTTTCAAGGCCGTAGTCAGGTGACCACCGCACTGAACGGTGACACCAAATGACACCATGTTGGACCCACCAGACACATGTTGGTGGCATGCAAACATGACCACCGACACCCATCTCTCAAGGACATCCAAGCAATAGAGGCCGAATTTGGTGACACATGAAATGGAAACCATTGGTGGCTGCTATTTTTTATGTAACTACTGTCGCTATAGAAACACTTCTGGAATGTTCAATCAATAGTACATTAACAAAACTGAAGATAGAGGCTTATTCTTCTGTGTTTAAGGTTGCAGTAAAGGGGAGTCTGTTTTTACCACCCTTTAGCTGGATTGCTTGCTAATTATAACTTTATAGGTTCTTGTGAATCTTTTCAGATTCACACATGATGAAGTCTGGATAGTTAGTGATGTAAAAAATTTGCCAAAAAAAAACTGTTCACTTCTTTGGTTGCCTTTAGCATAAATAATGGTCATGACATCATATGCCCATGAAAGTATTTGCTCATGGCTTGTCAGCTAGCCATGGAAGGCCAGAACAAAAAGTGAAGTTTGTATCTTGGAAAGTCCGTAAGACCATACGATACTCTCTGGCACTAATGGGGTGAAATCACAGCACGTTGTGAATGATCTTGCAACCTGATCCTGCTGCCCTCTGGGACGGGACTGAGGCCATTAAACAGCGCTCCTTACCTCACCCACGCATCTGTCAATTCCCCCTAGATCAATGGTCATTTCCATCTTTCCCAGAATTCCCACCTCAGGGGTGACTGTCCAGCACCTTAACATACCTTTCAGTGTGCATCTTCCCCTGTTCCACTTCAAATGATCCACTGATTTTTCAGTTGCCACAGAAATTACATCCCCCCTAGATTTGCTTATCTTTTCAGTAACATTATGCTGTGCGCCATATCTGCATTCTGCAACATGAAACTTGTGTTGTTGTGCACCTGCCAATATCTTGGATGATGCAAACCATTCTCCCAGTTACCTTTTTATCATCTAATCACATGCTCTTTGGATCCTGCTCTCATGTCCTGCTGCCTTCACACATGGCCTTGATGCTATTTACCAAACTACGGATGCTTAATTAAAAAATGTACTGGCACATCCAATCAGATTTATGTAATAGGCATTGTTTGGCGTAAATTGCGGAGTGCACTGCACGCTTGATCATAGCGTTAATTTAGATCTGTACTTGATATAAGGTTGCGACTGAGCTGGCAGGGTAAAAATTGGGTCGCGGCGCAAAAAGGGTTGAGAACCACCGCTATACGTCATCCGTACAGCTTGTGGTCAATGAACAAACGATTGCCGATTTCTCAAGTTTCGTTATTGGTTTTTATCTCATTTTGCCATTTGTTTTGTTCACTCACTTCACGTTAGTCGACACATATCTTTTCTGTATGAGAAACTGAATATGTTCAATATGTGTCAGATTTAAACATCACACACTGTTATGAAAATGCATATATAGAATAATATATTCAAATATTGTATGTTCTGACATGCTGATTATTTATACTATTATTTGTATTGTAGAAATTGGAAATAAAAACTCGGACAATTTCTCACAAACTGTGACGCACGTCACTCTCTTTTATTAACTCGCAGCAGAAAACGCGCCTAAAGCAAAAAGAGAAAAGGCAGTATCCTACTCGGAACATCCCATCACGTGAAGATGAGCACCGATTCTAATGGGTCAATCACAACCCGGGTTAAGGTACAGATAACCAATTACAGATTAGGTATCAAGCCTTCATGAACAACATAGACTTGATAGTATGGTGAATTATGCTCAATAACTATAATGTGAAGTCGCCACAGTATCATATTTTACATTTTTACATAATAAAATTCAAATATATCGATTTCCATGCGATATACTGTACTATATCCTATGTTATTCATTCAACAGACTCTATATAAGATTATATATGTCTCTGAAGGATTCACCTTAACTCCTTATCTTAATCGAGAGGCAGAACAAATTTAGCTAGCATAAATAATTAAGTAATAATTATCAATGCTATATTACAATGATTTTTTTTACATGACCATTTTTGAGGTACGTGCTTTGTTAGTGATTTCACATCAGTTTTTTATGTTGATATAATATCTTTCATTGTGCTGGAGCAAGTGTCTCTACATCACATTATTAACTGTTTTGAATTTTTGAATGACATTACATTTAGTTTCTTTATTTTTCCTTGGCATGTCCTTTCCCCTTGTTCTCTCCATTGTGTGGCTGTAATGAGCCACACCTGTTACTTGTTTAATCTCTCCTCTCGTCACAGCACTCGTGTGGATCACACCAGGTGCCTCTCGTCTGCTCCCTCGTCAGTGATGTATATAGTGCCTCCCTGTCTTGAGCTCCCCTGTCCAGTCTTTGATGTTGCTGCCAGCTTGTGCTCCCCTGCTTCCCCTGTTCTCTCCCTAGCCTGATTTGACCCCTTGTGGTCCATTTCCTTTTGCTTTGCTTGGTGTTTTTGTTTAAATAAAGCCCCCTTTTGGTTTTCCCCAGGCCTGCCTCCTGACACCAATAAGTGTGTCAGTTGGATGTTTGAAGAACATTTTTGCATTAAAGGTCAAAGGATGAAAGTCATTGGCAGCAAACAACCTTCATTCTCTAATCTACAGAAAGTCTCCTTTTGCAGAGAGTGGCACACGCTTAAGCCATAAAAATACCATATTTAAATCTGTGGGAATACTGTTTGCATATGTGATACGTTGGTAAGAAATGACTCATCAGTAGGTGTCCAGTTTGGTGCCTGCTTCCGAGTCTTGGCCTTTTACGCCGTTCACCTTGATATAAATCCTGCCGTATGTTTACACAGCCGCCTGACCTTGAGTGACTTTGCCCGTTGAGCTCTGGCTGACAATTTGCCGTGCCAAGCCATCACTTTGGTGAGTGCACTGTCCCCGAAAATGATCTGCTCACGGACAGTTTCACAATTTTTACAGTCTGGGGGACGTGGAGATGCTCGCTGATGTGCTTCCCCCCCCCCCCCGCAGGGTTCTCTGGCCCGGCTGCCTGCTGATAATGACTGCTGTCCATTTGTCTGCCCTCTGCATTATGTAAACAGCCGAAGAATATGGATCCTTTAACAACTGCATAGTTTAATATAACTCTTCCCGTCTGCAGGAAGGATGGACTGCGTGCTAAAGATGTAAAATTTCCTGTCCTTGTATCGTTGGGTTTATAATTATCATCATCTTTTTATATGATGGTGTTGTCAATAGTGCCATCATATGCATTATTTATGGGACCGAATTGGGCCGTCATGTATTGGCTGCTGTATTAAAGATTAATAATTTTATGCAGTAGAAACCTTGTGGCTGGATGATGGTTTGGGGGCAGGTGTGCATATTGCACAGAGATCTACTCGCCTTCCTTTCAATAAAACCCCCACACTAATTAAGTAAAAATGTGAGATCTTCTCTTGGTATAAAGTCTGTATAATCCCAGATGGGCAAGTGGAGTGCATGAGGTAATAGAGGGTGGGGGGTTAGGGAGGAGAAAGCAGTGTCCGTTATGGCCGTCGGGGGGGGGGGATGTTGAATCGAGTTTCCCCTCAGGCTCAGTGTCCAGCTTCCAGGTAAAGGAGGTGCACAGCAAAATGCTTAAACACTCACCTCTCACCCCTTCTGTTCTCTAAGCCAACGTACAGATAAAAAAAATCAATTCTTCCAATCAATAGGAAAATATTTTTAGTTGCTACTCGGGCAACATGCTCCGGCCTAGCACTATAAAAGGGCGATAAAAAAAAAGGGTGACAGAAAATTAGAGGTTTGTTTTACTGCCTGGCCGTGCCAACACAAATCAGATTTTATCTCTCGTTTTTCCTTTTTAGATTATGTTTTAATTGTGAGCTATGGCCACTTAGACAAGACGTGTGATTTATTTACAATACTTGCCTCTTGCAAGTAACTTCCACAAAAGTGGGTTTATTACCAAAGCAGGTTATTCTTCTTTCTGCTGGTTGGCGGTTTTCCACATCACTGGTGAGTTTTGTTTTTTAAAAAATTTGGATGCACGGAGTGGAAAATGATCCCAAAAAACAGCTGGTCCTGCCATCTGCTAACAAACTTTCTCTTTAAAACACGTCAGAGACAGATACTTGCTGTGGAGCGCAGTAAGTAGAAAACAAAATCCAGATGTTGCACTGCTCAATATACATGATCATAACTATGAACTGCACTGATCAGGCAGTTGCGGGGATCGGGACCCACAATCCGGTTCTGCTCTTGCAATCCCTGGAAATGGTTCGCTTTAAACAAAAATGAAGGAAATAAATGTGTGTTTAAATTAAATTGAAAAGTGCATCTGTTATCCAGTCCAATGTCATGCATCTTAATTAAAGCGAACCTGGGGTCAGCTCCCCGTGCTTCCCGCTGATACCATCACGGGGTCTAATAAAAACCCTCCTGGGTCTTCTTGCTTTTACATTTAGAGGCCTTACACCACGAGGCACCGAGGACTTCTCTGCGCCGATTGGATTTCAGCTTCCTCCGGTCGCATGCGAAACATGCCTCACTCCAGCAGCTCTTCAAATCAAATTTAAAATATAAAAATATTCCAAGCATGCTCTCAGCCCGGCCTTACGCCACACAATTTCTGGCTTTTTGTAAAATATGATAAAATACATATTTATAACACAGAATATAAATTAATCTATACAATTTGTTCTATTTTTTACTTCCATGCATTAGAATGAAATGTGAATACAAAATGTAATAATTGTGTATACTTATATTTACAAAAAATGTGTATATAATAAATACTCCAATAAGCTTTATTTATTAAATATTCCATATATTAAATATTGTGGATATTAAACATATATTACATATACATATGTATATATCATACATACGTCATCTATTTCTGTAGAGAAATATTTTGGATTTCATATTTGTTATTTATGTACATAAACTTATTTTGATCTTTTAAGCTGAAAGTTTAAGGTATTGTTGTATTAACTAAGTTAGTAATGCAGGGAAAACAAGCTATTAGCTATAAGTAAAACGAACAAGCAAATAAAAATAGATGCATTATATCAAACTGTTTTTATGAATTTGAATGTGTTTGCCTGGGGGAACATCACTAATAAAATTTATAGTTATCCCAGAGCATGGAGAACCGACCAGCGTCACCTCTGCCTGGTCCCTGCCTCTCTCTTGACACGCCGTTAAGTCCTCGGTGTCAGCAGTATGTCGCTTACGGAGCGCTCACCTCGGCACCTGTTCTGTCGTCTCGCCAGCGTTAGCCACGCGGTGCAGACAGAAGCCAGGGGGCAGAGTCTGGCCAGAGGCCTTTGAGGAATATCTGACAGATGTCTGCTACTAATTTAGAAGCCTTTTTATTAAGGGAAGGTCCAGCTGTTGTATAGAGAATCCCCCGGCCAGCCTGATCGATTCGCAGCCAGCAAAAGGCATTTAGGCAGCCTTCGCTTCAATGGGCCGGGCACAGCAGGACCGGAACCGGCGGACGGCAGGCAAGGCCGGGCAGGGCGCGGGGAGCGGGGGGGACAGGGACGGCCTGCCCCCACCCCTTGCTTCCCTCACTTTATGATGAACTGGATCTTCAGAACACTGTCAGGTCAGTGGCCTCTGATTTCATCTCAAGGTGATCGTCACTCCGGTGGCTGCTCCTCACTCTGCCGGCCGCTTGGTCCATCCATCTCCAAGCGGCCTGACACAGGCTTCTCCCCCCATTTTACAGCCAACGAACATTTCCTATTGATTTATTGATTGCTGTCTGCCCGTGCGAGGAGCTGGCTGCAGTCTCTTTTCACTCCCACTGCCTTCCCTGCATGGATTTTTTTTTTTGTCTCTTGTCCCCTTTCCTTTCATGCCGGCCGTGTTCTCCAGTCTGTGCCGGAGCCGGAATGAGACCATGCGGGAGCCCAATTTGCCAGCTCCGCCTGGGCCGGCCCCACCTCCTCCCTATGGCCTCGTCCGCCTCCCTACCCCCCCGTGCCGGTCTCCAGGAATGGCTGCAAGCTGGAAAAGTGGCCGGATTCTCGCCGGTGCTCTCATTCGGAAATCTTTGAAGGATACGATAAAGGAAATGGTCATTTTCATAGTTTTTTTTTCATTTCCCAGCATCCTTTATTAATCACCCTTATCCAAAGTCCAAATACGTTTTTGTTCTAACAACTAAAATATTATATTTAATTTATTTATTCTATTTTCAGATATTCTACTCTGTTTTTAATGCAATGTTTTTTTCTGCAAAAAAACTACAGACATAGTTATTATTTACCATTTATTTTATATTCCTATACCATGTTTAATTAATGGTTCCCTGGTGATACTCGTGTGTGAGGTGTAGGTATAAGTTTGTTCGGCTCTTTGGCAGTTAACTGACTTTCCCCATCCACAGCCGAGCTAATTCTCCGGAGTGAATCATCTGAAAGCGTCTCCAGAATCCAAAAGCGTGTGAGTTTTCTTCCTGATGGATCAGGAGGCAGAAAGCCTTACTCTGTGTTATTACGCAGGGATTATTCGATTGACCTGGGTGGATGCTGGTAATTTCCCTGGGTTTTTAAAATATGAAGCGCTCTAATGGAGCACAGCAATGAGTGGGGGGGAGAAATAAATTAATTAATAAATGAATAGAAATGAAATACATGAATGTGCTTTCTCCATTCGATCTCTGAACCCGGTGACACTAGCCACGCCACACCGGTTAACAAGCCCCTCCCCCAGCCCCCCCCCCCTTCCCCACATGCTGACCTCAGCATTGTGGGAAATCTATTTCAAGGTTGCTTTTAAGGTAATATTCGTTTTCACTGTGCGGAACCCAATACTGGATATGGAGCAGCTTATTTTTTTTCTGTACCAGACACCAAATCCGGAAATGCACCAAAAGGGACCCCACACCTGGGGCTAATAACATTTACTGCTGCTGTGCTCACTCCCTCCCCTCCCCCACCCCCTAGCCCCCCTCCCCTGACGCCACTCGCCTCCAAGGGAAGGTGTCTGTAGGCCCAGAAAATTGGATCACCGTGATTTTTTTTTCTGGTCCTGGTCATGCTGACGGCAAGACGGATCGATCGATACCCCATGTGACACTTTCAGGATTCATTGGAAATGATGTCCCCCCCCCTTTTTTAAAAACAAGACCCCCATTTTACAGAGTCTGCCCCAGCTGTAAAATCCCACAATACATCTAATCTCTGCCCTGTACCGTATTGTATTATTTAACATAACTTGGGCCCTTGTTGGTCATTATATTTCAGTCGCTGTTGCGGCATGTCGTCCCCTCATGCCCTCATTTCTAGGCTCGTGATTTGAAACACTGTTTCCCCGTGTGCAAACCAATCAGGGTTTGTCTGACAGACAAATATTCAGGCACAATGGCTTTACTGTAAAATTATGTTTCCGGTAATTTATTTCAATCTTCAATCACAGATGCAACTTTTGTGTAAATATTTAATAACTATTAAGATTAGGATCTGTCCATTTTCCGTAGCACTTTTGCAATGTACAAGGCAGTGGGCACCCTGGATGGGATGCCGGTCCATATCAGCTACACTAGGGATTCCACCAAAACCATTTTCTGGGGATGATATTAAAAAATATTCAAACTTCTCCCACACAGTGACAGGGACAGTAACCTGCAGGTGTGCAGGCATGAGAGTCTAGTGCTCACAGCATTAAATGCCAGGCCACTGTTGTGCTACAGTACACTAGTAGGACATCATTTTAGTCCAATTATCAGCTGCTAAACGTTCGCAGATCCTCTGAGGCTTGGCTGTGAAGGCCAATGAGATGCAGCTCCTGGATATGACTGCATGTTGAAAGCATGTCCCACATGAAATGCTCTGTATTGGTCTTACAACTTTGCATTATGGTAACCTAACATCGGCTACACAATACAGCCAGCATGTGTATGAGGGAGATATTCAAACTGAAATTACAGTGGTACCTCAGAACTCGAACTTAATCCGTTCAGAACTCCGGATCGAATCCTAAAATGTTCGAGTTCTGATCGAATTTTCCCATAAGAAATAACGGAAAACCAATTAATTGGTTCCAGGCCCCAAAAAATTGCACCTAAATATGTTTTTTTTTTTAGTATTTAAACACGAAATGAATCGGATAAAACAAGAAGAGCATATAATGTAATAAACACATCTAAGCACATTTATGAAAACAGTCATTTGTAAAGTAAGAAAATAAATGTATCCAAACAATGTGTAAAGTTAAAAAAAAAACAATGATCGTCCGCTCCTTCCGTGTGCCACGCCCCCTCGTTAACCCCGTGTGGAATCCCCGTGTGATCAGCTGTTTCTGGTTGTTGTCATTAGTCCTCTGTATTTA